GTAGCCCAAATGTCCATTAACAATGGAATGGGTAAATAAACTGTATTTGTATATGATAGAATACCATATAGCAGTAAAAAGGAACAAATTACTGATAGATGCAACAACACGTTTCTCACAAAAATAATGTTGGCTGAAGAGTTGACACAATAGAGAGCATACTGTATGATGTCAGATATAAGAAGTTCAAAAATGGGCAAAATTAATGTCTCCTTTAAAGATATTGTAATACCAGTGAAACAATACTAGCTATTAAAAAGTTTTCCTTTTGCTCACTGATTGAGGTAGCTCCTTACATGTTTCAGTTTCCATAAGCATTACAATATATTTCTATATCTTGTTCCATTGGTCTGTTTATTCATATGCCTATATTACATTGTTTTAATAATAGAAGTTTTGTAACATGTTTTAACATCTGACAGGGCTTATACCTTTCTCCAATCATTGCTCTGCCTTTTCAGGATTTTTCTAGCTATTCTTGCTTATTTATTCTTTCAACTTAACTATATAACTTGTCTTTCTTCAGGAAATAAAATGCTGAAGTTGTTTTCATTAGGATTACATTAAATCGATAAATTATTTTAGGAAGTACTGCTACCTTTATGATGTCAAATCTTTTCCAAGAACATGGTTTGTCTTTTCCGTTCACTTTGCTTCTTTCAGGAATGTTTCTAGTATTTATATAGGTTTTGTGTTTATTGTTGTTAAATTTAAGCCTAATTTAATTTTTGTTGTTAAATTTAAGCCTGTTTTAATTTTTGCTGTTATAAATGGAGTCTTTCTATTTTTACTTCATTTTTTCCATTCATTTCCATTCAGATTTCTTATTGGTTATTGTATATCTGAGGTCTTGATTTCTGCATGTAATTGTATATCCTGCTATTTCACTACATTTTTTTTTTTATTGTTTGGAATAGTTTTTACAGTGATTCTTTTGAGTTTTTCAATTAAATATATTATTTGCAATACCCACACCCATCCCCAATTGTTACGCCTCTAATTGCTTTCTCTAGTCTAATCGCATTGGCAAGTACCTACATAATATTATACAAGAGTGGAATCCTTATTTTTCCTGACATTAGCGAGAAAGTCTTTAGTGTTTCCCTATTAAGATGCTGGCATTTTTTTAACAGCCTTATTTATGAGAGATCTAATTTACAAACTATGGAATTTACCCATTGCAAAACTGTACAATTCAAAGATCTTTCTTTCTTAGTTAGTTTACAGGGTGGAGTAATCATCACAATTCAGTTGTAGAACATTTCTGTCATTCCAAAAACTTCTCTTCTGTCCTTTTACAGTGACTTTTATGTTGACAGATATATGAGGATATATTTATGTGTGTTTACGTGCAGGTCTGTATATCCTATACTTGTATATTTATATCATTTAAGGGATTACCATTCATTCTAATATTATTCTTGTTTTTAATTCAAGTAATAATCTATAAAAGTTTTCTTTTTGACGTACATTGTCAAATTGGCAGGCTCAAGTTGTAGTCTGCCTTGGCATAGTGAAAAATAAGTCTCCTTACAATAAAATACTGCCATATTATAGTAAAAAGTTTTTTCTGTGAGTAAAGGAAGATAGCATTTAATTTTCTGAAACATTTTGTCCCATGTTGTTTGTTAGAGGATGGCATTCCCTGTGGATATGTTGGATAATTGCAGTCACGAGGAGTTGGAAAATTCTGCTGAAGATTATATGTCAGATCTAAGGTGCGGGGACCCTGAAAATCCTGAGTATTTGTCTCTTCTCAATGTTACGGTAAGCTGTTCTGCAGTAATTTTTATCACTCTTTTCAGTTGAGTTTATACATGAAATCAATATCTTTTCTTTTTTATCATTTAAAAGTGTTAACTAATCATTTTTGAGATTTTTATCAGAAGACTAAAATGGATAAATATCGGTTAGTACGGTAGCATGATGCAGTTTTAAAAAGAAACTAGGGGTTATTGCTTAATATTTATGTTGTACCTTTAAAATTATATGTAAGTTTTCCGGTTTTGCTAAGACTGGTTACCATATTTGAGCTAACTCAATTAAATTTTCTTTAGATTTGGAATTTGTGATTTTAGAAATTTTTAAAATTTAGCAACACACCGAATAACACATTTTTGTGTCACAAATCTTCCCTCTTCTAAAATATTGAAATCAGCATTTCTGATTAGTAAGCTGTGATGTATTGTGGTAGATCATTAGACCTGGAATCATTAGAATTCCAAAGTGAACTTGATGGTAGGCAAATTCTCTAACCTTTGTAGACCTCAGATTTTTTTTCTGGAAAATTATGTTGATTTAAAGGATGCTTTTAAGTCTCCTCTAGTACCAATATTTTATAATGCTCTGAACTGTAATACAATCTGTAAATGGGGAATTAGTGTTGGATTAATGAAGGCAGAAAAATTTTAAATCGTATGCATCTCGAAAAAGTAGGAAAAATAAATTTACCTAGCTGGCGTCTTACTAGAAAATGGAATTCCCCCCACCTCAAATAGTCTGAATTACAGATGATAAAGTATAGTTGTTTTTTAATTACTTTATAGACCGTATCATACTTTTGTTTTTATTAAGACTGTGGTTAGAGCACAGTAATATTCATTGAAATAAACTTATTCCCCCCCCAATAAAAGATTCCCACAAAAGGGAATTCTGATTTATATATTTTTTTGAGACTAGAAATATCTTCTATGAAATGAAGTTATGTAATTAGTATTAATATAGGAAAAGTTAATATTTTGGTAGAAGATTAGTGTTTTTGTCTTATGTTTTCTTAACAAACCCTTCACTAATCTTTAATCAATTCTCATTTCAGATTCCTATTAGCCTGTCAAATGTAGGCTTTGTTCCTCTTTATGGTGGAGATCAGACCCAGAAAATTCTTGCTCTTTTTGCACCTGAGGACTCACTCACAGGTTTCCTTTTTGCTTAATCTTTATAAATTGAGGACTTTTTATCCAGATAATTAGAAATATATTAAAAGGTAGCTACATGAAGAAATTTAAAGAAAAATTTGTTTGGAACTGTAAATTTAGGAAAATGTAATTCTCAGTTGCTTATAATTAAATGTTTAATGAACAAAATAAAAACAGGTACGAATGGGGCCACATTGTATTATAAAGTATGGGTATATTTAAAGGTATCTGTATAAAAGTTACCAAGTAGTAATATTATATACTTTAAGACTTAAACATTAATAAACGTTATCAAATAGTAATATTGCATTCTTTAAGACAAACATTAATAATCATTTATTCTATTTTAGCTGTGGCACTTTACCTTGCTGATCAATGGTGGGCTATTGATGATATTGTGAAAACATCTGTCCCTTCTAGAGAGGGGCTTAAGCAGGTAATGAAATCCTGTAATTTTAAAAGTCCTTCCTATGAGGCCATTTCATAATATGTTTCCCATAAACAGTGACAGTTATTGAGCTCGTCTCCATTTTTGTATAACCAGATTATATTAAACCCTAGAGTTTCATTGTTATGATGAAACTGACATTCAGATTGGCCTTTCTCAGTTTTTTTTTTTTTTTTTTGGCTCTAAAAGTACATGAGAATTGAGTGAGGAAGAATGAATGCCAGTGGGTTAGTTAGTTGAGCTGTAATTACCCATATCAACTTCAGCTTTTCTGATTTTCTTATTGGGTAGAGGAAAAGCTAGTTTTCTCTATGTGTTGTTTCTTAGGTTCTCTGTCTCTGGGAGAGACTTACCAGGAAACTTGCCTACCATAGGGCCATTTTGGGTGGTCTATTTGGTGTTCTAAATAGTGGAGTCAAAGGGAAGTCCTAAATAGCATACTGCACAACTTCTGTCTTTTTTTTCTGTTCTGGTAACTGTTTAATCAGTTACTTAGAGGAAGACATAGATGGCTTATCAGTGCATGCCACAGTGGTGAATGGGAGAACCAGTCGGTGAAAGGCAGAATTAAGCAAAAAGGAAGGATCTAACACAATGAAAATAAATAGAGATAAACATAAAGTAGAACCCAAAAAATTCAAAAAATTAACTGCAGCATTTATACCATGAAGACCAGACTGAAACAGTAGTATGTATGGAAAAGACCTTAGTTAATTAGAAGCAAATCAAGGTAAGCAAAAAAGCCAATAAAAAACCATTAAGTTTATGCAGAAAATCCCCATTATCTTAGTAATATCTTCAGTGTTTACATCTGCAATATCTGCATGCCCATGTGAAGACAGACAATCGGGATCTGGAGTATTTCAATGGAAAGTACTGGAATGGCAAGAGTACCCCAAATTACATTAAATTAGTCTTTTCCCTCAGTTTTTCCCCATGTTTAGCATTGGTATGAAATTTAGGGGAATAGCATAGCTGTCTTCAAATATTTGTAGGCTGTATGACTCCAGAAGATCAAAGTATAGTCTTTAGGAAAATAGATTTTAGCTCAGTATGAGGAACAATTTTATTCTGGTCAGAAATGTTCAAGGGAGGAATGGGTTGCCTTGTAAACTAGCAAGCTTTGTCATCTCACATGTTGTTTCATACTAGAGATGTTTTGGGGAGTAGTGTTTGTATGGTTAATGCTTTTTCTCTCCACTCACCTAATTAAGGAGACTTGGCAGAAAATAGACTATGGATAGAACTCTCGTTTTTTAGCAGTGAAGGATGTCTATAGGAAAATCCTCATTGTTTAATGTCAGAAAGTTGGTAAGGGGGTCCCCGTGACCATGTAGCCCTGCATGGAAGAAGTGAGGCTCCATCCTGTGATTGTCCTAAGTATGTTTTCAGTAGACCTCCCTGGTGCCACTATCAATACTCATCTGGTCTAGGAGAAGGATGTGTGTGTGTGAGAGAGGTTTAGGAAGGTAGGTATTTCTTATAGTTAGACTACAAAAACACAACTGTTAAATGAATATTTTACCTGGAAAAGGTGAGACAGATTTCTTTCCCAGGAGCATAATTGGCTTTGCTCATCAAATGGGGCAATTGTTCTCAAAGTCTTCAAAGGATAACATGAAGCTTTCCCCGCTTTTTCCTTTTTTCAATATGGAGGCTGAAAAGGGTGGGAAAGTGTTGAAGCACTAGAGGTGATGGGGGCAGCGATTAGAGTGGGTGAGACCCTTGATATGGGCAGCTGGGAGCAGAAAGAAAACAACTGAGTGCTAAAGAGATGCTGGGGATTAGTGCACTGGAAATCTATTTTGCTTGTTTTAGAATTTTGCTGAGAAACATTTCATGCATAATACGTGTCTATAGAAATGGATTGTTATTGGCATGAATGATTAGCTTTATCACTGTGATAATAAAATGTTTTATGAATCATCTTGAATGTATTCATAGTGCTTTGAATGCCTGTGTGAGGTATGAAGCAAGGAGCAAGGTAAATAGCATCTCTGAATTGATGTATATTATAACTGTTGTGCCTGGTGTTTGACTCTCTTTGTAGGTGAGAACTCTTGGGGAGAGAGTGGTTCTGTATGTTCTGAATCGAATTATTTATAGAAAACAGGAAATGGAGAGAAATGAGATCCCATTCCTGTGTCATAGCAGTACTGATTATGCTAAGATTCTGTGGAAGAAAGGAGAGGCCATTGGGTTTTATTCAGTTAAGCCTACAGGTGAGTCTTTAAAAGTTATTCAAACTTTGTATTATGGAAACCTTTTTAGACCCCAACTATATCAATATCCCTTTTAAATGACTCTCTAGAGTACAAATTGAGATGATTTTACTTAATATTTTTTGGGAGTACTGTGATCCCATCATTCAATAAAAGTGAGGATTATTAGTAAAGTCTTTTGAAAAAAAAACAAAATAAAAATAAATATTTAACAGAGAGGAAGATTTCTCCACATATATGGGGAGAGAGCCTCAGATTTACTCCTCTTGTTCCCCTCCCACATCCTTCCCTTTATTAAAAGTTGTTATTTACTTTGATTCTGCTGCTGTCACTATCACGGGCTCCTTTTAAAACTCTTGTCTACCTGTGGACCAAATGCGTAACCCTTTTCTGCTTATTGCAGCTGATTTAGCCTGACATATTAAAGCCAGCTTTGTTAATTACCATGAAAACCAAAATACTTTGAGAATCCACATAGCTTCGAAATTATGAATCTTCTATAGCAGGAGTCCCCAACCCCTGGGCTGCGGACCGGTGTTGGTCTGTGGCCTATTAGGAACCGGACCCCACAGCAGCAGGTGAGCAACGGGCAAGAGAACAAAACTTCATCTATGTTTGTAGCCACTCCTCAGCGCTAGCATCACCGCCTCAGCTCCACCGCAGATCATTAGGCATTAAGCTCTCATAGGAGTACCAGTCCCTGGTGCCAAAAAGGTTGGGGACCGCTGTCTAAAGTTTGGATTTATGATCCTAAGATCCAACTGTACCTTACTGAAAGACAAGTGCAGTTTCATCTTGCTTTACCTCTTTTTCTATTCATTTGCTCTCTAGAGCTGTTAGAGCCAGAAAACTCTAAACCTGCTTACTCCATATATGTAAATAATCAAATAACCAATTTGGCCTTGTTCTGTACCTTGGCCAAAAGACCTTTCACAGAGAACACATGATTTTTCTGTCTTTTTCACATTTTACATCTTTCAAACTTAGTTCTTATTGTCAGATCCAGTCTAAAGAGCATACTAGATTCACTGCTATTTTGAAGAACAGTTGGAACTGCTATTTTTAAGTAATCGGTATACATTTATGATGAGAATTGTGCATATAGTAAATAGTCAATAAAAGGGAGGTCATCTTAAGAATAAAAAACTGATCTATAGTTTAAAATGGTTTTGCTGTTTAGTAAATACTTTGGTTCTTTCATATGCTATTTTATTCTTGTATAAATTTGAAATAGAATCTGTAATTTATGTAACTCCAGAAGGATATCATTTTGTGATTTTAAAGTTTTAGTAAGTTTGAAATTGGGATATGATTTAATTACTTGATGCTTAATTATTTACAAGCTAATTCCTATGAGAATTGGAGGCTTTTTGCTTCTCACACTGGCTCCAGGGGAGTTTCCTATCTGAAACCAGCTCATGGACATTTGGAGCACATAGTAGTTTATACTTTTTTATTTAGAGCTTTTTTTAGATGAAAGACACACAGCGAAAGGGTAAAGCATTTTCCTTTTAGTATTTGTAATCAGTATTTGATTCCAGGAGTGTGTTCTTTTTAGTTTTATATGCTTTGGGGGCTCCCCCTCTCCTCTGAGTCCTGGCCTCTCTTTTTGCTTGTTCTGGTGGTTGACTCAATTTTATATTCTCATGCTTCCAAGTGTTGCTTTTCTGCCACTTTTAGCACCTTTGATATTTGTCTGCTAATTGCCTTATATCTTTACTATTAAGTTCCTGCTTTAAGCTCTGGCTGTCATCTACCAATGACAGTGGAATTAGGTGTGCTTATACTAGCCTTTGAATCAGTAACCATTTAATTTAGTCTGAAAGTATTTTTTTCTGTAAAGGAAATACCCAGCCATTTTTAGTATTGTCCAAAAAAATACTAAAACACTTGTGATATAATATATACATATCAGGAAATATACATATCAGGGGGGAAAAAAAGTACCAGCAAAGAGATAAAAATCTCTTTATTAAACATATTTCTAGTTGAATGAAAGCCTTATGCAATTACTTATTATTTATGATTTTTAAATTAAATAACGAATCAGCATGTAGGGATAATAGTTGGGATATAAAAATAGCCTTGATGTAGAACAGGAGGTGTTGTTTATGAGGTTAAATCCTATTACAGTATAATCAAATTCAAGAAACTGTGCAAATTCTTTATTGCCTGAAGTAAGAGATCACTGTGAGGGACTTACTGTTTTTTTTTGGCGGGGGATAGATGTCAGATTATTAAAAACAGTTTTTTTATAATACATTATTATGTGATATATGGCATATAACTCTAAGGGAGGTCACAGACTGAGTCACATCACTATAACAAAAGATTTCCTGGTCCCGTCTATAGTTATTGAGCACTTATATCTATAAAAATAAAAAAACAAATAGGATTAATGCTGAACCCTGTCTCATTCTGGTAGTAATAGTCATTCATGGATTCATAAACCAGTAAACAAAAGGTAAGCTTCATATATTTCATTAAGAGATACATTTTCAGTAAAATTTTATTTTTTGCTTAATAATTTTCCAAATGTATAATATACTTTGATTCATCATGTATTAATATTAATAACAATGGTAATTTAAAACTTTTGGATTGATATTTAGAACTTTATGGTCACAAGAAATTTAAAAATTTTATATTTATATATGGATATGTTTTTATAGAGAATAATGATTGTATAATCAGTAAATATCCAAGTAAAGAGATATATTACATAGGATAATATTCTGTAGAATAAATATAATAGAAATAGAAGTTCAAGGAGAAAATAGAACAATGTATTTTGGAGATGTTAAAGTATGGTTAGTTTAATAGTAAAGGAAAGTTTGTTCAGTGGATGATGGCAGTTATCAAATTGATAATAGTTTGTAGTGCCTATTTGTTACATTTAAAAGAGAGATGTAATAGTTTTTTTCTTTAAGTCAGTATTGTTCATTAACTGCAAAGGGAAAAATAGCTAATTTATATAGAGAATCCTGGTAGACATGTTAACTTATAAATCATGGTTAACATCACCAGGAGTAAGACATATCAGCATCATGGACACCTGATCTGTGATCTGCTGAGAAGGGCATAACATCATATCTGTGATACTTTTGCCCAAAATGCATAATCTCAGTTTTATCATGAGAAAACATTGAACAAAGCCAAATTGAAGGTTATTTTACAATATAACTGATCAGTAATCTCCACGAGTGTCAAGATCATGAATGACAGAGAAAGATGGAGGAATTATCAAAGACCAGAGTTTAAGGAGACATAAACCAAGTGCACTATGAAATCCTGGATTGGATTCTGAAACAGAAAAAGGACATTAGTGGAAAAACTGCCAAGTTTGGATAAGGTCTGTAGTTTAGTTAATAGTATTTTATCAGTGTTGATTTCCTGGATTTGATAATAGTACTTGGGCTTTGTAAGATGTTAACATTAGGAGAATATCGGTGAAAGGTATATGGGGACTCTGTATATTTTTGCAACTTTTTTGTGCGTCTCAAATTATTTTTTAAATAAACAGTTTTTTAAAAGTTAATATTGATAAGATGCTAGAAATTATATCCTTTGTAATTACTGAAACCTAAGATGCAAATTTTAGATGTTACCAAAGATGGGTGAATCCATGATATTTCAAAAATTTTTAATGGTTACATGAGTTTCCTTTGAGGTATTTGACTTGGCCAAGAAAAGAAAATTCTAAAAATATAAGTGTTTCCCCTGGGAAAAATTTCAGCTAGATCATCCTGCTGTGAAGCTCATTGTTAGCAATCAGCACCGTGCACATAGAGCTTCTAATCGGCTTTTCAATGTCTCATTCCTAACTGTAAACAGTTAGGGAAAGCCACTGATATGAAAGATGGAGATCAAAACAAAAAAGAATAAAAATATTTTTTAGAAGAGACAGACAATACAAAACCAAAATAAAGCAAAACTCAATATTTTTGGAGGTAAGAGTAGTCGTTACATTCATGAAATGAGAACAAGATATATTAAAAGAATGTCCATAGTATTCTTGGAAATTAAAAATTTAATATAAGGAAAATAAAGTTGAGGAAATTGATCGGAAAGGAGAACAACAACAACAAAAAACCTTAAATGATGGAAAATAGGAAAGAAAAGATAAAATTAGAGGAGCAATCCGAGTAATAGATATTTCAGAAGGAGAGAACAAAAACTGGAGGGGGAGAAATCACCAATAAAATAATTCAAGAAAATTCCTCGGAACTATAGAATGTGCATTTCTAGTTTAAAAGGGCCCATTAAACATCCATCACAATGAATTTAAGTAGACCCACACTGAGATAGATTATTGTGAAGTTTCAGAACATGTGGGATAAACTTTGGAAGCCTCCATCAAGTGAGAATTTATACGAAGGATCAAGAATCTTGAATGATTAGATTTCTCAACAGCAGCACTGATCAGAATACTAGAAGTGGAACAGTGCCTTTTAGATAATGAAGGAAAATGATTTCCTGTATAATTCTATGCCCAAATTATCAATGAAGTATGAGGAAAATTTTATATGGTTAATTAAAAAAAGTTTACTTCCCATGCATCCTTTTTTAGGAAGCTAGTGGAGTTTATGCTCTACTAAAATAAGGATGTAAATCAGGAAAGAAAGATATCTGATTAGGAAACTAAGGAGAGAAAGTAGTTCTCAAAATCATAGCTGTGTAATAGTTCTGGAGCAGCTCTGTCCAGATTGGTAGCCACTAGATTGTGGCAAGTCAGAAAGCTCTGGGACATTGATTCAAGAATATGGAATACCTAATGTGTTTAAACCAAAATGAGGTTTACACAGTTATGGGAGACTTTGAGGGATAAGTTAGAATTTAATAATAAATAATTAGTAATAAACCATTAATAAGGCAATCAAAAAGCAGTGCAGGAAAAGAAAAACAATCATACTACATGGCTCAGTTGTCGAAAGAATATATTTACACTCATAATGTAAATAATGAAAATTGATCTAACCAAAATTACAAATTACTATTTT